CAGCTTGTGGACCGCGTGGCTCAAACTGTGGCTCTCGTGGCTTTGCTGGTGACTCTCGTAGCTCGGCGTGTGGGTCCTGAAGCTCTCCTCGTGGCTCTCGTAGCTGCACACGTGGTCGTTGCAGCCTAGCTTGTAGTCTAGCTTGTAGTCCTCGAAGGGCCGCTGATGGCCATGGTAGCTCAGCCGACGGCTGTAGTAGCTCTGCTCGTGTCCTCGAAAATGAGGTTGTGGCCCACGTAGCTTTGCAGGTGGACCTCGTGGCTCGGCTCGGCCGATGGTTTTCGTAGCGCTGCTCGCCTCCTAGCTGGGATGACATCTCCGGTAGCTCACCTGGTAATCCACATAGCTCTGTTGGTGGCACTCGTATCCGAGCTGTTGGCCCCATCGTGGCTCAGCTGGTAGGCCTCATCGCCTTGCTTGTGGCTCACGTAGGTCAGCTCGCGGCCCTCGTAGTTCAGCTCGTGCATATCGTGGCTCTGTCGGTGGCTCTCTTAGCTTGGCAAGTGGGTCTTGAAGCACTTGCGGTGGCTCTCGTAGCTGTGCCGTTGATCCTCGAAGCTCAGCTGGTGGTTCCAGGAGGTCGTCTGGTGACCCTGATAGCTCTGCCAGGGGCTGTAGTGGCTCAAAGGGCACGCTATCTTCGTACAATCCCCGAGGTCTGGATCAGAATCTTCGGCTGCCAATTCTTAATGTGCCGCGTTGTGGAAGCCGGAACAGTCCTGGGGGGCGTAAGAGAAACCTGCCGTAGTCAAACTCGTAGTAGGCGGCGCGGCCGTAGTCACGATCGTCGTTGGCGTCGCGGCCGTTGGCCACCAGCACTTCTGCGACGACGTAATTAAAAACCCCCTCGGGCTGCGCGGTCGCGTCGCTCCTGGTGGCGGTCTTGGTTGCGCACCTGGTGTCAAAAAGGTGGCGGTCGTCCTTGGGTTGCCTGTAGCGCAGCTCGTTCTCGTACTGTGGATGCATGTTGCGCAGCTCGTTTTCGCGCTGGCGATGTTTCGTACATGCGCAGCTCGTTATTGCACTTGGGCCGCCTGTTGCGCAGCTCGTTCTCGTACTTGGGCTGCCTGTTTCGCAACTCGTTCTCGCACTGGGGCTCCCTGTTGCGCAGCTCGTGCTTGGACGTTTTCGCGAGGGCTGTCGTGGCAATTAGACCGGTGTCTTTGGGTCCCATGCCGGACATTGTGCCCTACTCGTGTTTCGGCCGCGTCTGTTCGCGCCCATGTTCCTCATAGCGCGCTTGGTCTCGGCGTCTCGACAACCTTGCCGGCACGTCTCCACGAAAGTGGGCAAGTAATGACGGCGCCACCTGACCGCGGCCACGGTTGCGAGGCTGAGGCCCGCCCGGCGCGCGGCGTGCACGCGGGCGAGCGCGGGGGATGCATCCCGCATATGGCCTTGTTTCTCCTCCTCGTCCTCCTCCTCCTCGTCGTCCTCCTCCTCCTCCTCCTCCTCTTCCTCCTCGTCCTCCCCTTCGTCCTCCTTCCTCCTCCCCTTCCCTCCTCATCCTCCTCCGCCATCCCTCCGCCCTCCTCCGTCCGGCCTCCTCCTTCCTCGTCCTCCTGCTCCCGCCAATGTCCTGCAGCCTGTCCCGGCAGTCGAACCTCGTGGCGGCGGCACTGCCGTGGGCGGGCCCCTCACTGGCGTCGCAGCCGAAGCCCTGGGCCGAGCAGCACCACTCCTGGGGGCACCGCCGCTCCCCGCCTTCGCTCAACAGGACGAGGAAGAGGAGGATGCGGACAGGACAGGACATCCGCATGTGGGGGTCAACGTCGAATCGCCCACGAAGGAGCCGTGGGGTACGTATTGCACAAGTCCCCTGCGATAAGGAGGAGGCAGAGGATGCGGAAAAGGAGGATGAGGAAACTCACAACCGTGAGTGGTACGACCGAAATCGCACAAGAGGAGAGGAGGATGAGAACGAGGAGGGGGAGGAGGAGGAGGAAGGGGAGGAGGAGGAGGAGGAGGAGGAGGAGGAGGAGGAGGAGGAGGAAGAGGAGGAAGAGGAGGAGGAGGAGGAGGAGGAGGAGGAGGAGGAGGTCTGGTTATCGGGCGCTGGGACGGCACGGTAAGACGAGGAGGAGAAAGAGGAGGGAGAGGAGGAGGAGGAAATGGATCACTGGCCAAAGTGCTAGGTCTGCGAGCGGGCCATCATTGAAATGTCCCAGGGGCGTCGCGGTTGCGGCGAGGAACCGCGAATGGGGGACGCCCCATTAGACAAGGAATGGGGAAAACTGATGGAGTGAAGGAGATAGCGTTGGAGGGAGGAGGAGGAGGAGGAGGAGGAGGAGGAGGAGGAGGAGGAGGAGGAGGAGGAGGAGGAAGGAGAGAGGGAGAAGCTGGGGGAGTGAGGGACACTGGGCAAGGTGAGGCCCGGCCGAGTCATGCCGCAGGAGCCCGTGTGTCCGCAGAGGGCCCAGCAGCTCCAGAGACGAGGTCATCCTCGCCACCGTCGAGATCACCGAAGCTCGGCAGGCACATTCTTGCTGCTCCTCCTCTCCGCTGGTCAACGCTCCTCCTCCTCCTCCTCCTACTGCTCCTCCCCCCTCTGTGCCCCTCCTCGGCCACACGCAAGGGTGACCGCGGGCACGGGTGACCGCTGGTGCGCGGCTTTGGGGGCCGCGAGGGGGCCAAATCCAAGCGAGGATGCCAGGGCCCTGTGGGGCCCCTGGAGTCCTAGAGGGGCCCCTGGGGTTTCCCAAAGGAACCCTTTAGGGCCCCAGAACGTGTTCCTCTTTTCCCCTCACGTGTATTGCCCCTGGGTTACCAGCCGCCCAATCCTCCCCCCTTCTGCGGCAACTCAATGGGACCTCCCATACTTTTTTGCGACTCTTGCCAATTGACGCCAATCGACGCTAGTCGACGCTAAACTGACGCTGAACGACGCTACCTTGGCGCTATGTCATATATTCTACCAAACGCCAATCGGCGCTTCTGCACCCTGTTGATACGGAATTGCGAGGATAGCCAAGGTTCCCATGATTCCTGGCGGCGCGCACAGGGGGGTAGGGGTAGGGGGAGTGGCTTCTTTGAAAGAAGCTGCTTCTGAGAAAGCGCCGGCCCTGTATCTATGGAATAGGCCCGCGCCTTCTAAGAATCAGTGGCGCTTGCAAGAAATCCTCCCCCCTCCCTGCACCCCCCTCTGTACGTGGCTGACAGACTTCAATGTCTTGCTGCCGAACGCCCCTCCCCTTGAGGACTAAGACCGGGCGCCGTCCTTCTTGCCGCGCGACCACCCTGTCGCCCAACTCCCGCGACCCGCCGAGCAATTGTACGACGAGGGCAGGGGCTCCTCCGGCCGGGAAGAGCTGTGGCCTCCCCTCCGCTCCCTTCGCACCTTCCCCTCCCCTCCCCTCCTCCTGCTCCTTCCTCGCCTTCTCACCTCCCTCCCCGCCTCCTCTTCCTGCTCCTGTTCCCGCCTTTCCTCCCCCTCCTCTTGCTTCTTCTTCTTCTTCTTCTCCTCCTCCTCCGCCTCTGCCTCGTCCTCCTCCTCCTCCACATCCTCCTCCACATCCCTCTCGCTCCTCCTCCTCCTCGTCCTGCTCATATTCCTCCTCCTCGTCCTCCTCCTCCTCCTCCTCCCCCTTCTCCTCCTCCTCCTCCTCCTACTCATGTCCCCCCCCCTCCCGTCTTCTCCTACGGCGCACTCGAGATGCCCAAATCAAGCACGGGCGTGAGCGTGGGGCTGCCGCACAGGCCTGACGTCTGATGAGTGCCGCCGCCGCGCCTCCTCCACTCCCTCCCTCCCTCCCTCCTGACCGCCTCGTCTGCGACGGAGATACGCGCTCACATGTCATGTCGGTGTGCTGGCTATCTTCTGGGGAGGGGGTAGGACGGTGAAGGATGAGGAGGAGCAGCAGGATCGGCACCTCAGGCCTGCCGCCCCTGGAACTCAGAAGCAAGAGAAGAGAGGGAGGAGGCAGCGGGAGGAATGCGAGAATCGAGGCTCGACGATCAGCGGGGTCGAAGGTTGTGTTGTGCTGGTGACACCCGCCGGGTGAGCCCGCCTGGTGCAGCACGGGTTCGACGCGTCTCGGCCGCCTCGACACTGACGTCACGGTGTCGGGCCGGCTGGTGACAGCGTGCGCTGCCACTGCCAGTTGAATGTTTAATGTCGGGTGTTTCCAGAGGTCCTGGCCCTGATGAGGTGGCCTCAATTTTCCCAGGGAGGCTGCCAAAGCACAACTCACGAGGCCAAGAGGGCCCCAGAGGCAGCTATATGCAAGATGGCTCGAAAAGCTGGGGAAACCTTTGGCCAGGACCACTTCTGGCAATACCCTAGTGATTTGCTCACGCTGATACCCGCGTCGTGCCTGGTAGCGTCTGGCTCCGACTTCGAATTCCACGCCTCGTTTGATCACGATACGGCATCTGCAGACACTGTCTGATCTTTCTCGCGCGCTGATGCCAGCGTTGTAGCTGATGATGTGATGCTCCAGAATCTAGTATCGCACATCTCGCCGACCAGCGACACAGCCTTCTGCCGTTGCCTCCCTGTCTCGCAGGCACTGATACCAACTTTGTAGCTGATGAGGTCGGGTTTCACCGTCTCCTCCCACATCCCCCTGAGCAGCGACAGAGCCTGCTGCCACTTCTCGCATGCCCCGCACGAGCTGAGTCCAGCGTTGTAGCTGATCAAGTCGGGATCCAAGTTCGACTCCCGAATCTCGCTGTGAAGCGCTAAAGCCCTCTGCCACTGCCTGCCTTTCTCGCAAGCGCTGATTCCGGCGTTGTAGCTGATGGTATCAGTCGCAAGCTTCGTCTTGCTGAGCAGCGACAGTGCCCGATACCACTGCCCAGCCTTCTCGCACGCACTGAGCCCAGCGCTGTAGCTGACTAGGGCGAACCCGTGGACTTCGTCCACGAACAGCAGGTCCCCCTGGCGCGCCTCCGAAGCCTTCGGTGGCTTTCTCTGGCCGCCTTTCCGAAGTTGGAAGGCGGGCGCTTCCTCCTCTTCGTCCGCCTTCCGCTCCACGTCCGCCTGGACAGCCTTCGAAGCGTCACAGACGGCTATGGTGGCTCTGCGGTGTGCCTTTCGCCGCCTATCGGCTCCCCGTGGTTTGAACAACTTTGAAAGCACCCAGGGCCTAGAACAAAAATCACCTGGTGGGCTCTGGTGACTTGTTTCCCGGCTGCCTTTCCGAAGCCCGATGGCGGGCGCTGCCTTTTCCCTGGGTGCTGCTTGGGGGCCTCTCGGGGTTTCTTTTCGGCCTCCTGGGGTCCTCTTGGGCCGTCTTTCGGCCTCCTGGAATCCTCTTGGGGACTTCTTGGGCCGTTCATAGCAAGCGGCGAGACCTGGCCCGAGGACGACGCCCATAGCAAGCGGCGAGACCTGCGCGGGCACGGAAACGAAAGGGGCGAACCAGGAATCGGCCCGAGATGGCTCATGGCGCCCTTCGCTTTTGAGAGCCCCTGTGTGAAGGGCTGGTCACGTCACCGCTCGCTCTCGAGAGCTGTGCCTGGGAGAGCTCTCTACGCTACGGCTCGCTCTTGGGAGTCTTGGTGAGAAGAGCTCTTTTAATGGGCGTCTTTGGGCGTCTCTGGGCCTGCTTGGTGGTCCTTGTGGGGGTCTTTTTCTGGCTATTCTGTGGTTTTTTGGGGCTGCTCTGGGAACGTTTTGGGACATCTTGGGGCCATTTTGGGCCGTCACGGGGCGTCCGGGAGGCCTTGGACCGTTTTGGAGCTCTCTTGAGGCTGCCTGAGGCCGTCTTGGGAGCCTCTTAGGGCCCCCTCGGAGCTCCCTTGGGGCCGTCTGGGGTTCTGTGAGGCCGTTTCAGGGCTCTCTGGCGTCGTCTTGGGGCTCTTGTGGGCCGTCTTGGGGCCCTCTTAGGTGCCGCTGGCGTCTTCTTGGGGTGATTCGGGAGGACTCTTGGCGTGTCCTGGGCCACTGAGGAGCACACAAGGCGGATTTGACGATTTGTGCCTCTTTGGCGTGCGCTCGGGGCCCTCTTGGGGCCTCTTCGATCGTCGTGGAGTCCCCCCCTGGAAGGCTTCGGGCCCTCGTGGGCCATCTCGGGACCCACTGAGGCCGTCTTGGAGCGCTCTTGGACGGTCTGGGAACCCCGCTGGAACGCCTCTGGGACCGGCCCGAGCGATTCGGCCCCGTGGTGGCGCCGTAAAAGGGCGATTTTGTCCACTTGAGTTGAGACTTCTCTTGGCAGTCTAGAGGTTAGTATGACAATTGATGGGTTTGGATGGTCCGAAACGACCATCGAGTTTGATGCCCTACACCCTGGCGTCGAAGTTGGGGTGATCACCACCCTCGGGGTGGTCTCCGAACAGTCATCAACACTTTCCTGGGCAGGCGAAGGGCTCACAAAACAGCCATGACATTTGATGGCCGCCAGGGGGGTTGTCAACTTCGAGAGCCGATTCTAAGACTGCACGTTCATGGGCGAACCCACTGGCACCGATCGATACCGTACACATCAGCATCGAGACAACTAGGACACGGAGGAGAAGGAGGAGGAGGGTTGGTGGAGACACGGACGAGGAAGGAGGAGGAGGCAGGGGGAGGAGGAGGAGAAGGAGGAGGAGGAGGGCGGAGGTTGCAGTGGGAAAGAAGCAAGAGCAAGGAAGAAAGAGAGAAGAGGGAGGAGGCAGTTCAAAGGAAAGGCTTTGTCGGCAGCAGCGGCGGCGCCCCTCGTCTCGGCCGTGCAGTGCTGGGCGTCCGTCTCTCTCTCCCTTCTTCCTCCTTCTCCTCCCTCCTCCTCCTTACCTCCTCCTCCTCCTCCTCCTCCTCCTCCCTCCTCCTCCTCCTCCCCCTCCTTCTCCTCCTCTTCCTCCTCCCTTCCCCCCTGGGCGCGGCAGCGGAGCGGCCTGCGCCTCGAAGCCCTCACTGCGCCAGCTTGCGCTGGACCTCGGCCCACAGCGCTGGCGGGATCGCCTCCACGGCCACTGACCTGGCCTGCATCGCGTCGATGCTGCGCTGGAGTGCATCCACCGATTGAGGCCCTTTCGACGACACCGACTGCGCCAGCGAAGCCACTGACACCGTCAAGTTTGCTTTTGCCATTGTCTGCTGCCACTCGTCTCGGGCCTCTTTGAAGCCCAACTCTGGAACGTTGAAATCGCCAGCGATCTTCGTGAAGTCGGCCTGCTTCTCGCGAAGCTCACGCTCGAGAGACTTGATCTTGTTGCTGATGCCGATCTGGCGAAAGATCGTGGTCCGCATGCGGGCGTAGATCTCGTCGAAACTCGACTGGTCACCAACGAAGCTATCGAGCCAGCCGCTACCGTCGCTCATGCCACCAGCGATGCTCGCAAGCTTCTTGCTGACCTCGCTCGCCGCCCTGACTGCTTCTCCCACGCGTGACTGGGAGTACGTGTTCATGGCATTCACGGCGGCAGGCTTCCAAGGGTCCACGATCGCTGAGAATGCTTTGAAGTCCTCGAAGCCATACTGCGCGAGGGCATCGTCGCAGTCGTCGGAGGCCGTCGCAGGAAGCACCTTCATCATCGATGAAAGCTCATCGAATGCGTCTTTGATCATCTGGTAGTCTGCATCCTGGTCCGTTGTTGTACACAACAACTTCGCGAACAGCTGTGCCATCTGGAGGTTCGACCTCACATCGTAGCCCCTCATGTTGATGGCAACCCTGAGGCTGGACCCGTCGCCGTCGTGCTTGATCGTCTTCATCAGAAGGTCCCCGATGCCCTCCAGCAGCATTCCCCTGCGGACCAACGTGCTGAACTCAGGTCCCTTCACCAGCTCGTCAACGTCGCTCGTCCTCAGCAGCTCGATCTTCTGGTGGAGCAGGGCTACAGTCCTCGCGATGACGGTGATCTCAGTCTCCCCGCTGATGGCAACTGTCATGTTGCGCTGGAGGGTGTTGTGCAGAGCGTCCGCGTTATTCTCGATGGGATCGCTTAGGTACTTGCGAGCCGCCTCCAGGATCTCAGTCTCGCCCCTGCAGGTCTCGGCAGCGTTGCGCTTGTCCAGCAAGCGAGCGTACATACCCGCCAGTCTACCACCATCCTCGACCAGCGCGAACTCCGCAGCCACAGAGAAGTGGTGCATGATCTCCTCGAGCTTGCCCAAGACGTCCAAGTTGACGAGGGCCTCGGAACTGTCGATGATCGTAGTTGCCAGCCTCTTGATGGTGTCTTCGACTGCCTGCTCCGCCTTCAGCGTCGACGATGCCTTGCCACGGCACGTCTTCCTCCAATGGCCGATGGACGAGATTGCAGATGTAAGAGCATCGAGGCCCTCTTGATCGAGGTCTGCGGCGTTCAACTTCATGATCAACGCGTTCATCTTCGGAGCAGCTTGGAGGTCAGTCGACGCAGCCCGTCGAAACGAAGACTTCCATTCGGCCCAAGGTTTGTGCTTCCCGAAGGCTTCAGAGAGAGGCGTCCACTCTGTATCCGAGAACCCCCCTGTCAGCAAATTCACCAGCAACGACATATGTGGAGCGCAGTCCGAGAACGTCTCGGGGTCGTCGTTGCCCAAGTGGGTCAGCAAGAGCCCCACCCCCGCAACCTTCTCGTAGTAGTCCTTGACGCTGGCGCTCCACTCTGGCATGGTAGCTCTGAGCTGGTCGGTCAACCTGATGCCAAGCGCCTGCATGTGATCGACCAAGGCAGGCTTCTCCAAGCCAGGCAGCACCACGATGTCCATGAGGATCTCCCGAGACACCGCCACCCTGGAGTCGATGGACCCCGTCATGCTAGAGAGCTTGGGCTCGTACATGTTGAAGGCGTCGGCGCAAGCTGCGACAGGCGCGATCGCATCCGTGATCTGATCGATCGCAGGCTCGGCCAGCTGCAAGTACTTCCTGAGCAGGTCCTGTGAAAAGCTGGAGGCGCTCTCGACCTCCTCATTTGAGAGAACCTTGAGGCGCGCACAGATCTGATCCCAACTCATCTCGCTCAGGTTGTTACTCAGTAGCGTCGCTGTCTCAGCCTTCTTGTACAATGTCTCAGCCATGATTGCCATGCTGGGCGACTGAGGCTTGAACCTCTTCAAGGAGTACACGCGATCGCCCTTCAGGGCTCCGTCGAGGATGTCAGAGATGACGACGTCCTGCTTCAGCTGCCCCCACCGAATCTTGTCGTTGGCCAGGGCGCCCTGCGCGGCCTTCGGAACAACCCTGCGCCCAGAGCTCACGTGCGTCACGTGGCTTGGCGCTGGCGACCTCGATCGGTCGCGACCTGGAGCAGGTGATCCAGGTCCGCATGCTGGCGAATCCAAGGCAGCCAAGCTACCTGACGAAAGCCTCACGATCCGCGACGACGTGGGAGTAGCAGCCTTGGCCTGCGTCGCAGAGCTGGCGCCCGAAGCTCGGCGAGCGGTAGAGCCCCTAGCGGTCGCAAACGCTGCCGCGGCCTTGGAGCCAGCGGGTCTCGGCAAGGCCGCGCCTTGCGAATCGCCCTCGCCATCGCCTGCATCGCCCTCAAGCTCGTCGACGTCCGCGTCCTCGATGGCCAGAAGATCCGAATCAGCACGCGATGCACCAGAGGCCTTTGGCGCCACCAGGAGCCCACGGCTGGTAGCCTCCGGGGCTGCAATGTCCTGCAACTGGGCGAGCGTCGGCACTTTGGCATTCCCTCTGGGTATCGTCGCCTGTTTCTGTCTGATCTTAGTGATCTCCTGCTTGAACGTCGGTTGCTCTCCTCCTGAGGCTGCCGCTTTCGCGGCCGTGATCTTGACCGTGCTCATGCGAACTTCTGTCCGGGTGTAGTTCTTGATCTCCGTGTAGGGCCTACTCGGGTGCTGGCAGACGACGCCAGTCGAGCTCACGCCTGGTTGAGTGGAAGAGGCAACCCGAGTCTCCTCCACCTTGCACATCTCAGGCGATATGCCAGCCACACCCTTCGGGCAGACCTTCTCCGTCCACTGGTCCTTGGATAACTGTATCGACGTCTTGCTGATCTCCTGGCCGTAGATCACATCAACTTCGACGCTGCCGTGCTCCACAAGAGCATCTTCAATGCTGGCGGCAAGCTCGGAGTCGGCCTGCCACTTACTCTCGCAGTCCTTGTTGAAGTCCCCGTCCTCATGGCACCTC